AAAGGGGTGGTTCTCTGTAATGAAGGGATAAGGTGTCTGAGATTGATAGAAGATCGTCTTTCTGGGACATGACACAGGGAAGAAAGTGGGGTTGGAAAGTAGGGTGCTGTACCCATCTCAGCCTTAGAGATGGGCTTTCTAGGAGGATCTGTATAAGCCACTTCAAAGTATTCAGCCTTCCCACTGAAAAAAATGCAGTAGGTACCAAATTTACCTTGATGCCAGAAACCTAATTCTGATACTGTCTATGAAAGACTTTGTATCCTGAGGGAAAGGATATTTAGGAGAGCACAATACAAATAAAGACTTTAAAGGCCTCTGGTCATGAGGCTGCTGTGGGGATTGTCACGCTGCCCACCTGTCCTGACCTGACTGCACCCCAGGTACAGCCAAATGGGCCTTTCTGCATCACAATGCTCATTCCCAGTGAGTCAAAACCAAGGCTGGTGTATGTTTCACATCACAGTCAGTGACACCCCAGAAATTTCTAGTGCCTAATACCCAGTCCAAAGTATAATTCAGTCGCAGTAGGGAAATCCTTTCCATTTTATGGGATGAATACTTAGGTGATGGTGACTGAGGTTTTGAATCTAACAATGGGACTAGTTGTGTCAGATTCTCTCCTGGGTGACCATACCTGCTTTTTCTTTAATGACAGCCCAGTCCTCATAGCTGTCAATATGCTCCTTGAGCCGGGAACAGAGCTGCACATTACCCACATAATCCAGGAGAACATCAATGATTGGCCCAGCCCAGCGACTTATCTCTGGAGTAGACACCATTTCACAAAACTTCAAGGAAAAACAGATTGACTACAGTCAGTGAATGCAGTTGTGGAAACAACAATAACAATGGCCCTGACAACTTCGATTTCCCTCGCCCTTCTACCAGCAATGAGGGAAATCACCAGTTTCCCTTCAGAAAACTTAAAAGCCTATTCTTTGACAACTAAGAGTAGAACCCCATCTTTACAATCCCAGGATGACACAAATCCCTGGTGAAGTCCTAGCTCTGGAGCATGGAAGAATGATGAATTGTTTACAAGTCCAAAGGTCCTACTTCCACAGAAGTGTGAGGGCAGGGGAAAATTGCCCCAAGTCAGTGAGGGGCTGCTGAAAGGTCCATGCAGTCCAGGGCACTATGACCAAGCATTCTGGGTCCCTTTCCCTTCTTGGAAGGGGCTCTGTGGGGCTACCGTGCAAAAGGAGGCTTAGGGAAAGAGGGAGATTCAGCAGAGCACAGCACCTCCTGCTTCTTGTGAACCCACTAGTGTCTGCAGCTTTTGGGGACCAAACATCTTACTAGAAACAAGCTGGGAGAATGGAAGAAGTCTCCACACAGATGAATCCCAGGCAGTTTTACTCACTTATGAGAGAACTATCCTGGGCCTAATAGAGAGGCATCTTCCTTACTCAGTCCTGGATCAGGCAAATTTTCTATTGCCTACAGTGCGAGCTGCAGAATACTCTGAGCCATTGCATGGTGGGCTGCTTATGGAGATACTGCAGAATAGACTTAAGGACCTGACTTCAGGCAGTCTCATTTCAGAAAAGTGGTGATTTTCCTTCTCACTTTAATCTAAATATGTATATTATATCAGTCAGCCTCATCTGTCTCTTCTAGTGTTCTGCATATGATGAGGATATCTGTGGATGTATCTGCATGTGAACAACCAGGAAGTTTAACATGAATTAAATCATGCTGTGTGAGTAAGAACTCAGGCACAGAGCTGAATCCAATTGAATGATGGTGGCTTAAGCACCATCCATCAGCTTAGTCACTGAGACTGTATGCAAACACCCTCCAAGCTCACACTAAATGGGAAAGAAAACGCACCAGCTTAAACCTCTTTCAGTCTAAGCTCCTGTAACTAGATCAAATTTGATTATACATCCATGAGTCCTAACTCAAAATGCATTAAACTGTTGTGTGGATACCCTTATTCAGAAATAAAATTATATTCTCTTACCTACTAAGGAATAAAGCTGCAGAAAAGGCTATTTTACTCAGGGTAAAAGCATTCACAGAGGTGTTTACTACTCTTCTCTTATTTTTCACTGAACATTACTGTGTATTGTTTCCCAGAAGAACTAGATACAGTGATGTCTGAAGGATCGCAGTGGACAACCCCCAGTTTCCTACCTGGACTGCTCATAGGAAGTTCAGTTAGTATAGCTGGCTGCCACTTTCCAGTGCATATGCCACTGCCATGCAGTTATCCATAGGATGCACCAGCTGGGGATCTGCACTATCACCTCCATACAGCAACTTTTTTATCAGTTTAAATGAAGATACATGTAGAGTAATAAAACACTGGATCTTATTTGCTCTGTTCTTGTCTCTCCCAGAGACCTTGCCTGCCTCTTTCTGTCTTCCCTATTCACAAGCTCAATCTACAAAAACATTTTCTGGAATAAACCTGTTTCAAAAGACATTGCAGGAAAATAAACACAACAAAATGTAGGAAACTAATGCAAACCTGCAACTGCAGGCAATGGGGTTGACTCAGGGACAAAGTGGTTCTGAGCCTGTGTCCTCAGCAGAAACCTGAATGCCCTCTCGCGGCAGTACGATACCGCTCTCCCCACCTTCATGGATTTGACAGCAATTCTGGAAACACAGAGGAAGGCAGCAACCATTTTTCTGCATTCACTTTCTCCAGGACACATTAATTTAGTGGCAACAGTAAGGATTTATAGTTATGCATTTTCCAAATCCACTTACAGTAGCTCATAGTCTTTTAAAGACTAATCATTCAGATTTATTACCCTTACGTAATCTTACACAAGAAAAAAGAAAATGCATGTCCTTTGTGTGGAGAAGGCTACAGTTTCATAAGATCCTCTGTATTTCAGAATACAAACCATAGCATAACTATATATCTTGAAGCTATGTCACACGTCTTACTTCTATTAACCAAAATACTAGCAGTAAAAGCAATTTAAAAACAGTATTAGAGGGAATGAATTGCTTTTTTTTTGTATGCATTTGTCCCTTACTGCTCTCTCTCTCTAGGCACAGATAAAATTTTGTACAGCTTTTGCTACCTCTGCCTTATGTGGTCTGACCTTTGAGGAGATGACTGTGAATGACCTAATATCTTGTTAGGCGATAGTTTTAGGTGAGATCCAGAGGGAACGGGTTTTGAGTGGCTAGGATACCATAGAGGGCTACAGACAAACCGTCTTTCCCTGCCCTGGAATTCCATCTCTCTGTTCACTCTATGTGCTACCATATCATGAAACAAGGACTAGAGATGATACATTCTATTAATTATTCTTTGACAAAGTAAGTGGAATCCTGGAAGAATTTTGCTGTGGCAAACATTCTCAGGGAAAAGTCAGCTCTCTTTGGGATAAAAGATTATTGTGATGGACTCTTACCATCCTCTTTATAAGATTTTTTTGTTTGTTTGTTTTTTTCTCCAGATGTTTTACTGGAGAGTAAAGTCTTTTGGAAGACAGGACTGATAATAAGGTAAAGATTTCCTAGGATCTTTTAATATTTTCCTTTATTCTATCTGCCACTGAAGAACATTTATTGGTAACCATGTCTTTGAGATTCTTCTGAATCCCTCAAAACTACACTTAAACTAGACAGAAGTTGATTTATTTCTTCCCTGATTCTTTGCAAAATAGAAAGACTGCTGTGTTGAAATTTCTTTTTTGTGTAGCATATTGAATGATAGTAAATTTTGATTGGAAGGTCAGACTTCATTTGAGATATATTGGAAGGAGAGAACATACAGAAATCAGAAAAAAAAAGTAATCTGAGATTCTGCAAACTCCATTAAGGTACTGAGAGTCCAATCCCAGTCCAATGGAAGCTGAGCAATCTGCACTTTGGAAAGTACCACAAAGATACATGTATAAAATGTGCATATGCAAAATCTGTCTTTGAAAATATGAAATCATGGATCAAAATCTCCTAACCTCTTGTGAAAACTTCAAATATAATTCACAGTCATATAGCTAATGTAATAATTTATACTCTCTCTCTGTGACTCCTTAGCCAGTAAACTTAGAAGGTGCAAATATTTACATTCACTAGTTTACCCTCATAAAGTGAAGCTCTAGACAATTTTAATGTAACCAGTAGATAAAATTCCATATCAGACAAAACAAATCTTACAGGACATTTAAAAAAAGCAGGTTTCTACTATCTGTATGCTACCACCCATACATCTGTCAGGAAAATATACCTCACTCCTGCACCTCAGGCCCAGAGGAAAAGAATGTTATAGAACTGTCAGTAAGGCTGTCAAGATGGCTATAATTCACTGTAAATTCAAGCTGGTGCCACAGAGGCTGTTGACTACCTTCCTGCTGTCATTGAACATGAACTTGGAACATTCACAGACACTTATTGAGCCTTTTTTCTGTAAATAAAGTGGAGATATTGGCAACTTCTCTCATCAGAAAGTTGTGAGAAAAAATACACTAAATTTCTCAAGATCTATGGGTAGGAGCTGTCCTCAGAAGTCCTACAGGTAGACTGGGCAGTGCTTACCTGTACTGTGGTTGGCTCCTTGGTCAGCTGAGGATCATTAAGTCTTTCCCGTCTGTAATTTAATGCAGGATGGGGGCCATTCCCATACTGACACTCGAAACAGGAACTTGCATCACAGCCCAGATCCAGGAGATACTTCAGCACGGAGAGGTACTTCATTGAAAACATGATGGTAGCTGGAAATGTGGTGGGATGACTTGATATATAGGCATCAATGTTTGCTCCATGGTCAAGGAGCAGTTTCATGGTCTTCATGCAGCCATGACGGATGGAGATGAGTAATGGGTTGATGAGGTCAATATTGGGGTTGGCTCCAGCTTGCAGCAGGAGCTCTGTGGCGTAGATATTGTTGTTAAAAACTGCAAAATAGAGGGGGGTGGTGCGTCTGTCCTCATAAAGGCAGGACCGTTCATTGGAGAGGGCACTGTTGACCTCGTAGCCAGCATCTATCAGCTCTTCCAAGATGTCATCGTTGTTCCGCTCGGCTGCCAAGTGCAGGGGGCTGATGCCACTACGTTTGACGCGGGTGCGGCTGGTCACAGGGATCAGCATGGAGACAATCCTGCCAGCAGGAGAGTCAGCGAATAGCAGTGAGCTCTAGAGGATTTACAAGCCTACAGCAAATCATAGCTTTATGGCTGTAACCATAAGACAGAGTACTTAGGCACAGGAACAACTCTGAGAGAACCCGGGGTGTAAACTTTAAACCTATGAACAACTCCCTCTGCTCCTACCTTGCCAAAAATGTGAGTTGTATGACCCCCTCTCTCATGGAGGAACACTTTTATTTTTTGATTACCATCCAGTTTCTGCGATGTAATGGCAACTACAGGACCGATATGCTGGCACTCGCCTACCCTCTTGTAACTTCTCTTAGGTTCCACAGCCCAAATGGCAGACAACCAGCCAGGATCTACAAGATGTCCTGCACCTTCATCATCATGCTGTGGGTAGGACTAGAGGAAAAGGCAGACACGCCTCAGCCTGAGGTGCCAGCAGAAAGGCTGTATCTCCCCACCTTTTAGGGATTGCTTTATTGCTCAGCAGAGACGGGTACCAACATGAAGCGCTGACAAGTGCTGTGGGTCACGGCCACAGCAAAAGGCATAGGTTAAAATACATATTTGGTTCCCAGATCTCCCCTGGCAGATTTTACAATTCAGTTATTGCCCTGCATTGATCCTATCCTGGAGGCCCTCACTGTGTGGCTTTTGGCTGTGGCAAATCCGTGGGGCTGTCAATGTCCGTCCCAGATCATGGGGAGCCAAAAAGACAATTAGTAAAGGGGAGAAAAAGAAATAAAAATATTCTCCAGGCTGGTTTCCATGTTTTAGCCAAGGGAGAAAAAATGTACAGCCAAGTCCTAAACCCCAGTAGTGAGGGATTGCTATTGGAACGGATGATGTGGCCTTAAACACAGCGACATCAATCAAGCTGCTCTCCTTATGTAATGTGAATTTCAAATATATGATGTATAGGAGCCCTGCAGTTGCAAATCTGTGATCATTTTTATGTCTGCACAGGTGTCATTGGAGCTGCATGACCAACCCAATGGGTTAAACCTTCATTTCCTGCTATAAAGTTGGGTGGTTTAGCCAAGGCACCAGGTTGATTGTGTAGATACAGATAAGTCACCTTTCGGTACTTTCAGGCAGAGACTAAGGACCATCCAATGTGAGTCTGCCTGCTGTTTCCAGAGATGACCATGCTCCCTACATAATGTCTGTGGAGAGAGGGGTATCTAAATAGGAACTTGTGAGAGTTCAGCGAGCCAAGCACACCTTCTTCTTTTTTTTTCCTCCTATGCAGATTCCTCTATCTAGCAGCCAACAGCTTTGGTAACGCACAAACATGCAAAGCTCAGTTTCCTACCATGTAGAAAGTCTCCTTTAAAATGCTGCGTATCTTCAGCTTGACTGCAATGGCTAGTCCCAACAGCGGGCCCTCAAACATGTATTTACATAATGAACATAATAAGCCAAATATAAGTGCCAGTCTCAGTAAAACCTTTATTTGTGACAATCTTGTGATCCTGTGAAATGATCCTGTGAAAGATTGAGCCTCCAACGCTCCGAAGAACTGAAATAAGAGTTGAAGATGCATTGCACTTTACAGGATTATGTTCCTATTTACATGATGGACTATTGATGTCTCCAAGTTACTTCTAAATCTCATTTTTAAACAAAAATGTTTTTCAAATTATGTAAGTATCTTGGGAAATTAAGCACTTTTTTTTCTCTAAGCAGCCACACTAGTTTTCTAGCACTGTGACACTCGCCAGGGAGCAGGAGGTTTGGGTGCTGGTGAGTTGGCAACTTCCCATCATCAGCAAATGTTCTGTAAGAGCCTAATAACAAAAAGGGCACAGAGCACTGTGAGGACACCATGCCAAGTACCAGCATTAGTCATCCCATGATCAAATGTTTTGAAGATTTAAGGGTCTGTTTTGTTCTTTCCCTCCAGCGTATGTGCTTCAGCCAGCTCTTCACATCTGAGTTAAAGAGGCACTGCATCATTTCAGTCTGCAAGGGGAACCTGAACCTCCCTGCAGGGGTGCCACACTCAGGCTCCACATCCAAATGCTGGAGTGTTCTAGAGGTCAGTACAGTCCCTGTACTCCACATTTGTTTTGGTATGATAAGCAGGAAACATCAAATTTGTATCAATTTCATTGTGTAGCTCAAACTTGTCTCTCTTTCTTGCCCTTCAAAGTGGATTGGGTCAGTAATATGGTGCCTCTATCTCTGCAGCCTTTCCTATCTCTCTGTAGGAAGAATGCAGCTCAAGTGAAGGCAGCCAAGACCAGAGAAGTCAGACTACAGCCCATGTCTGTCACAGGGCTGAGCTTCATGTACCATTTTGAAATGGTGCCAAGTTTCTCCTTATCCCTGACTCCTGCTTCTGTGATTTCTATTTATTAGAAATTAAATGGAGCAGGAGGCAGAGCATGCTTAGTAGGAGTGTGCCAAGAGTTTACTGATTTCTATTTACTTAATAAATCTGCTCACACTTCAAAAAGTCTTCCCTTCTCAGCATCTCAGTTCCGAGGGGGAAAGAGTTAAATGACTGCTTGCAATTGTTCTACAGCTCATGAGATGACCTTTATGAATTTCTGGTCAGTATTGACAAGGTGTCATTTAAAATAAACAAACACCAAGCAACAAGAGTTGACAGTTGAGCCCTGGGACCACATTCTTTGCTTTTTGATGGTAAGGAGCCTTCATGCTCTGGCAAAAAGTTGAAGTGTGGAATTCCTGCAGAATTACGTACTAAATCTGCAGGAATACAGAGGTCACCGTGAAGGGTGTTATTTTACTGAATACCAAAGGAATTAAGAATGATCAGCCAATTGGACTAAAGCTTTGTCATTTAGATAAATATTTATAAGAGAATATCTCTTTCTTTTGTCTTTCTCTTGCACTTAGTTTGCGGCAGTTGTGCATAAAAATTTATGTTCACTCTTTTACAAGTGAAACACAGAGTTTGGCCTAAATTCTGGTCTCATTTATGCTGCTGGTTGTCAGGAATAACAGATATAAGACCTGAATCAAGCTCTTGTTTTCATTATATATATATATATAATATATATATATATAATATATTATATTCATAATAATCACATTGCAAAGTTTCCATGATAAATTTCTTTTCAGGTCATAGTGTGGGACTACTGAGGGGAGGAAAATATTAAGAGAGCTGGGCCGGACTTTATATAAAAACTGGATACAGATCAACTTACTGTACTTTCAGATAAACTTTTTCAAAACTGGAGCTGGATTCTGTCTCTGGCGCAAGGAAATGTCTTTGTAAATCAAACCCTGGAGAAAATTTTGAGTCATGCCTGCATTAATCTGTGTGGGGTATCCATGAACATGCTGTAAGTGTATAAACCTGTTACATAAATCGACATTGAGCTTCCCTCTAGAATACACAGCTTGCACGGGGAAGTAGGCCTACTCCAACTACAGAAAATTAATATCCTCGGGTCTAACAAAGTGTTTGGACAAGCTTAATTGACAGTCCCAAGCAAACCTAAACACTACGATGAAAAACTTTATGGGAAGGTGTAATGATGTCAAAAGCTTTTATTCCTTAGAGACTGTGAAATATGTAAGAATCCACTCTAGCAGTTGTCTGCAAAGATAGCTGTATTGTCCGGAAACAGTCCTTGCGGTTGGATAGACTCTCTCATTTGCCTGTTCTCCCATTTGCCTGTTCCTAGAAGTATTTTGATAGAAACTGCAATAATCAGAAGAGTCCTCTACAGTCAGAAAAGGGGTTTGTCACTGCAAGATATGACTGTGTTTTGCAAACTTAGCTGTGGGTCGCTCACCCTTCCAGCAGCAAGGGGTTAAAGGCAGGAACTAAAACTTGCTGTAGGATCAGAAGTACATGCTATGGAGTCCAGGCTCAGAAGCATCCTGCAATGTCCCAGATTTTGAAAGAGCCAGGTAAACGCTATTTACATGACAGTGCAACAATTCCATCCCAGACAGCATCTTCTATATTGATATACTTTATCACAGACTGTAGAGTTTGTCCCTTTCCCAGAAACATCTCTATTTCAGAGGACTGTAAAAATCTACCTGATTCCTGGTTATTTTTCCATTAGTTACTATTCTCACTGTTTTAAAGAATATGCTCAGCTCTGTCCCAAACACATTTCATTTGAGGCAGAAACCACAGGGTCTTTTTATGCATTTGTCTGCTATAATTAAGAGTTATTTAATCACTCAGTAATAAAATATATTTTCCAGACCATGAGCAATTCTTGTCCTTCTTTTCTGAAGCCATTCCAATTTCCTGAAAGGTTTCTGAAAGGGAGGATACCAGAACTGAACACCATATTCTAGCAACAGTCTCACTAATGCCCTAGAGATTCACTTAACCACTTCCTGCTGTCAGCAGTTGAATTATTGTCAATAAACCTGAACATAGCAGAGATGAGTCCAACATCTTCTGCTTGTGCAGAAGAATCACAATGGACTCATGTAGGAAACTACGCTGCAAAAACTATTGAGGACTAACACTCCCCACCAATACTTTTTTAATTTCATCTCAAGAATATTTTGAGGATCTCAGTTTAATCCACTTCCAAGATACATGATGTTATTTAGCTGCAATAGGTGATGTCTTGGTAAAGTTAAAGAAATCTTTCACCCTTCATTCCTGCTCACCCCATCCCATCCCAACCTGCAAACACACTCTTCAGTGTATAATTTCTGGCCCAAGCTCTGCAAGCAGAAAACCCCATTCTCAACTAATAGCTCCCTTGCTCATAATGCCAAAAATTAGATCTGAAACATTACATTCTCCTTTTCATAAGAATGTTAGATTCTTGTCTAAAAGATGAAACTATGAAATTAAATAAAACTTACTCGCAAATCCCTTTTTTGGCTGCTATGTGAAGAGGTAACAGGCCATCCTTATTGGCTTTGTTAGCATCTGCTCCTTGGGACAAAAGAAACTCCACAATATGTACATGTCCATTTTTACAGGCTTCATAAAGGGCAGTGGCATTATCACTGGCTTGAGTATTTATATCAGCACCTAGGAAGGAAGAAAATCTTTTAGCACCAAAAGGCTAAAATCAAATGGAAGGAACATGCTTTGAATGAACACTACATCTCCACAACACTGGAAATACAAAATGTGCTGGATGGGGTTGTGAAGGAGGGCATATCAAAGATGACATAGTCATATCAGTTATATACCATTATATCACAAATTTGCACAGGCTTTTAATATGATGGGTATTTTATGAGGGAGAGTTTGTCATGGGTAGCAACCATTAGGTCCCAGTCATGAATCCAGACTCCATTCAGCTATAGCTCAAAGGAAAAAAACTTTAAAATGGGTTGTTCTTTATATACCATGGCCTTTCCTTCAAACACAATAATTCCACTAATATTTATATGTTTTCACTATGTATATACACTATTCCTGATCAGGAGTTTGGACTAGATGATCTCAATAAGTGCTTTCCAAAATTCTATGGATATGTATTTATGATATATGTTTATACATATCATTCATACTCTATATATTCACACTATATTTATAGAATTTATACTATGTTTTGGTTTTAGTACATATCCAGGCTAATACAATACTCTCTAAAAAGACATCTGCATAGTGCCAAGCAAAAATTCTAAACAGGCTTTATTTGGGCATATCTTAATCGATGAATATTGCATTTCAAAACTCAGCACCTGAGATCATATCTCTTCACGAGAGCTGAAGTTTGGCTCCAGATAGTTTTACAAAAAAAAATAAAAATATTAATGTGCGAATTTTTCTTTCTTGAGCTCTAATGTGTGCTTGGCTTAATAAAAAACATGCAAATATAAAGCAAGACAACACTTTTTTGCCATGAACAATTTGGAATCTATCTTTTTCTGTTATAGATATTCAAGGCCCAAAAGCCTGGGTTTTGACTGTCATATATTGTACCATGGCGTTCTCAGGCAGGCTGCTCTATGTGTATCCTAAATGGGAATGACATTTCACTGGGGTTTTGCTTCTAAACTCCAGCAAAGAAATCATGTTTGATCATGAAACATTTCCCTGTGTTCTCACCCTAAGCTGAAGCATCTGTGTTGTGTTTGGCCCTTTGAAGGTGCTGTAGTTGGAAACATCAGGAGAACTGCAGTGACAAAACATAATGAGGGACTACGTTCTTAATGAGAAAGAAGCTGTTTTTATGATGAACATTGCTCGTCATAAACAATGAATGATATAATTCCTGGGATTTTCAGAGGACCTTTTCAGGCTTGATAAAATTGGACAGTTTTATTGGAATTTCTCCTGTGTATTTTTCTCAAAATTGAACTTCAAGGAAATCCTCTATCTAGTTTGGAACACAAATCAAATTGTGGCTTAGTTTCTAACATTGTAGGCAGCATGATGGACTAACTGGTCATGTAAAATTTTTCTGACAAGACTAGTTGGGCAGCAGATCACATTTTTTGTTCCCCAACTCTCATATCTTTCTTAGCCATACTAACTGTTTCAGAAGTTTTATTTCATCTGTGTTAAGCTCTTGTTTCACAAGTGCAGGACCCAGATCTTACCTGCATTGAAGATATTAGCCCACTGTGAAAATAAAATACGCCTCAGAATAGTATTAAAGTATGCTCTGCTTAGTGTAAAGCTGTTTCACACAAGTGGAGCATTAAAAGGTATGTTTAGTATAAGTTAGATTAAAATTCACTCTTTATATGGTTAAAAATTTACACATAGGGAGAGCTAGTCTGCTTCTATTTGATGTAAGCCATTAACTCTACAACAGTACTCTGCCTATTTTCAGCAGAATACATTAAGAGGAGGACAGCTAACATTGCCCATCACTGCACATGTTCATGAGCAGATGAGGTAGGCTAAAGTTCAACTTCTGCCGTCTATTACCACCTACAATTGTCTTTTATGACTTTGGGCTACATGTTTCAGCAGTGTGAGTTTAGAAAGCTCAAGAAATACAGTTAGACAGCACCATATTACTTCCCAGAGTAGGTGACCATGAATGAATGCTGAAGAAGTGTACGTGTCTAGATCATGCTCTCTGAAAGACCCTACCCAACTCCACCATCTGGAACAACGGGGTTTTAGTGCCTCTGCAGGCTAGGTCTTGCCTCCAGAGACACAAAAAATGCACCAGGGAGAGTTACTGGAAACTTCTAACTACTAAGAATTAAATGAATAAAGGCATATAATGGCACGGCTGTACTCACCACATTTTGCGAGGTATCTCAAGGCTTCCAGCTGCCCACTCTCAGCTGCCACAAATAAAGAAGTGATCCCGTAGGCATTTGCTGACTCAATCTTGGCACCCCCTTTCACAAGAATATCAATAATCTCCAGGTCATTTCGGGAGACAGCCTCATGGAGAGCAGTCCATCCTCGATTACAACGATGGTTGGTATCCGCATTGTACTGTACCAGGAGTCTTGCGGCTTCCGCATTCTTACGCTCACAGGCTGTTTTGGAAAAATGGGAAGAGACTAGGACAGGCTTTTGCAAATATTCTGGGTGTTGTATATTCATTTCATGTAGCTTAAGGCAGCGTAACACTGATAAGCCATAGTAAGACTAAAGACCCATTCAGGTATGAGGGCCAAGGCTGCTGCCAAAAACACTGCCTGGGACTCCTAAAGGATGTGATAGTGAAAACAATCTTCAGCTGGGAGGTGGTGGGAGCTAAGTGTCCTGTGCAAGGGTTGTGCCAAGCCTGGTACTGGGTGGAATCCAGCCCAGCATATTTGTACCAACTGGACACCACAGTGACCAAGTGGGGTGACAAATGTGCAGGAAATAATTTACAAAGATCAAATATGTTACATAAATCACATGACATGAACACTTTCTTTCCAAATTCTGTGCAAACTGACACTTTATCTTACTGTCCTGGACTGCAGATAAAGCATTTGT